ATTTTGAAAAGGCGCCTTCGTTTAGGAAAACTTTGTAATAGTTCTCGTTCATAAGAACGTATACAAAGTGTTGGACTTTTGAAAATGTTTCATGTTTGGAAAATGTTTTGAAAGTGTTTTTGAAAGTGTTGGTGTTTGTTTTGAATATAAGCAAGAATGTTTGATTTGAAAATGAGCAAACAACTAAGAACAATGTACCTACTCAAAAGTCTTTGTTCATTTCTTCCTTTCCTTTGATATTGCTATCTTACCATTGATTGGTAAGAAGCCTTATCTTTGGATGTAAAGGGGTGGACGTGGGTCATCGTATAACCATGATAACAATGTTGTGAGATATCTTAGCATTTCTATTTGAGGGACTAAGATCATTTTGAAAGGCAACATTGATAGCGTCATCGAGGGACTATGATCTTGTATTTTTTATTGCTTTTTGCTAAGATATCCCACATGCATAACATGGTCATTTTTGTAATGCAACAAAGTAGAATTACCCTAAGGGTGTAAGTGTGCAAGTGTGTTTGATTTACATATATTGTTTTGTCTTGAATTAGGATTTGCTACTTGTTGATTTTATCTTTCCATATAAACCCTAATTTACTAGCATTTATATAAAGCAATAAATTGCGGAAAGTAAAATTACTATGCTATTACATCATTAGAGGAGGGTGTATAAATTTACAAATGGGGATTTGCAAGAAAATTAAACCTAATTATCTATTACAACCATATTGAATAATATACAAGAATTGAATAAAAATATACAAGTGCAAATGAAAAAGAAATGATTTTGTTTGGTTTTTGTTAAGGGTTTTAACCAAATGATTAAAAAGGAAAAAAATATTTAATTAAAAATAAAATTAAACCTAAATTTATTAAGAAAAGAAAATAGGTTAAAAAAGTAATTTTTAGGGTTTTTTTATGAAAAGATTTTAAATTATTAATAATAAAATGAAAATTAAATAATTAAAAGAAATCTAAATTCTAAATTAATTTTAATAATAAAATAATAATAATAATAATAATAATAATAATAATAATAATAATAATAATAATAATTAAACCTAAATCTAAATGTTAATTTACTAAGAAAAGGAAATTAATTTATTAAGAAATATATTTTTTTGTTCTTTTTGTTTTATAAAGCAAATAAAATAAATAAATGTAAAAATAATAAATAAAATATTTTTTGGATTTTATATTAATAAAAAAAAATAATATAATCGTAATAAATAAAAATAATAAAACAATAAAATAAAACTAAAAATAAAATAAAATAAGAAAAGAAAATATATAATAATGAAATAATAAAAAAAGGTTGGGCCAGGCTGCAAAAGTAAACAGGGGAGTTAGAGAAAGCAAAAATGAAAGGCCCATTGTTGGAGGCCCAGGCGCTGCTTGCTGAAACAAAAAAGAGTGAAAATGTGAAAAATAAGGAAAAAAAAGGTAGGGCTGGGGCTTGAACCCACGCCCTCATGGTTAGCAAAGACTTAATACGCGCGCTTGCCACTGGGATGACTTGTACATCCGGTCATAAAACAACTTCCACTAAATATAAAATAAATCAAGTTCTGAATATTTGAAATCATCTTCTTCCTCCTTCATGCGCGCGCATAACACAATATCCATCATTGTTAACCCTGTAACTTTCTCATTTTTTGACCATTTTAAAATACGAACATGAAACTTGCTGGAAATTTCACTATCAATTTAACCATATAATTTAATTAAGCTAAAAATCAAAGGTTAAAATTAATTTTGTTTGATACCAAATGCGTGCCCTAACTGGTCAGAAGCAAAATTCTCCAAACACAAGCAAGTAAAATGCAAACTAGGGACATGGTTAGCTTGAGGGCAATAATATCTACATTTTTATTTCAGAGTGTATGCACAAAGGATGCTTGTATCAAGATATTGAAGTTTAAAAACTTACCTCTTGCAGCTGGATTTGTGTATGGACTTTGAGCAAGTTTTGAAGAGTGAAGATGATCAGGTTAGCTTGCCTGGACCTCCCTGAATGTGTTGCAAGCCTTACTTTGCTTTGAGGATGGCTGAAACTCCCTGCTCAAGTCAAGTTGCAAGCTTGAGTTTCAAAAATGGTGGATGATAGAAGTGTGATTACAGTCTTGAAATAGGGACTTGGATCATTTGTATATGATATATGTAAGGTGTTTAGATGATTAGAAATCAAAACACACGAGTAAAAATGGAGATGGTGAGTTTTGGCTTCAAACTGTCAAGTTTGGGAAGATTAAAGGCAATATGGAGTTTGGGAAGTTTTGGGAGGGCTTCAAATCGTATCTTGGCTTGCAATAGACTTGTGCATATGTATGGAAAAGTTTTGATATCAAATATACTCAAGATTTCTGAGTTCTAGCCTTTTGGCTGTATAACTTGCTTTTGAAGAAAAGTGAGAAGACAAATCTCAAAATGTTGTACAAGCATGTTCTGAGTTCAAAAAGGATTTAGACACATTTCTTTTGGTTTATAGGGGTTGTGTGTACATACAGAACAAGTGCAAAGCTCAAGAAGTTGACAATTGCAAAAGTGATGCTTTATCAAAATGGAAATGGCAACTTTGTGCCATAAATGGAAAATCACTTTGGACAAAGCTTAAACCAAGTGGATAAGGGCCTAAAGAGTTGTGAAAACTATTAATTATAGAGTGACAAACAAGTTTGAGGTCTGCAAAGCAAATATTATGCAGCCTAGCATGGATTTGGTTCATGTGTTCATCAAGAAATGGCTTGTAATTCAAGTTTGAAAATCCTAACTTCTTGCCTTCGATTCTCCTTGCTCAAGTATGAACTAAATGAGTTCTTAGATATTTTGGAAAGATTGTAACATCCTATATAACCTCTATGTTGGACATTTTTTAAAATTCATCTTGGAACTATGTGAAAAATTGCCATGAAGTTAGGTCAAAATCCTGCCTAAACTATGGCAAAATTTCACTAAGTTTCCAAGTTTCATGAACATGTCTTCACAAAATCATAACTTGAAATCCATGCATTTCTAGGAAAAGTTATGTTCTACAATGTTTTATATCTCATTAAGATCTACAACTTTTATGTTAGAAGTTTCCTTTGAATCATCTTGCATCATGGTGAAAATTTGGTTCAAAGTTATGAAAAAATATGAATTTTCCAACACTTAGAAAAATTTCTAAGTTTAGAAATTTCGACTTTTCAAAATGAAATCTTGACTTTTTGATTTCTTGATAAACAAGTTTCACATTTTGACATGTTTTGATGAATTGTGATCTTTGATACTTGATTTTGACCAAAAAGTCAAAGTTTGACTTTTTAGTGTACAATTGACTTTTCATTAGTTGACTGAAATTCATCTGTCAATCAATTGATCTTGAGAAATATTTTGAGCCATGCCATTAGGTTAAAATGAAGTATTTGAAACCTTGAGATCATGTCTCAAACCAATCAATCATTTGTTAAGTCAAAAACCAGAAATTGCACTTTCTCAGCGAAAACCCTAATTTTGACCATTTTGCCCTTTTGATGATCTGATCAAATTTCTTGAGGAATTGTGATACAAAATTGATCAAATGACATATATGAGTTAATGATGTTGATATGGATAACAAATTATGAAGTTTGACTGTAAATTGACCACAATTGACTTTTCTCCAATACAGTTGATTGTAGGTCAACTGATCAATTGACTGAGCAAAAATGTGATCTAAGACTTGAAACTTGACATGAGCAATCTTGAGGGTTCAAAATGATCCATGAAAGTCATATGGGGCATTAAAAGTCCATTTGTCCCTGTGCAAACTCAAACCCTAATTTTCAGTTATCAGTGCTTAAGGAGATGTCTTGAGCTGATCAAACCTTGTGTAGTCTTGAATCCAATGAGATCTTGTGAGAGATTACTTGAGAAATGAGAGGGCAAATTTTGGGGTACAACACATATATATTGGACTAACTTTCTAATACTTCAAACCTCGCGTCAATTTGAAGCTACGATTCTCGAATTATGGTGGAAACATGAACACATGTCACTTTTCAAACTATCAGAACCCTCACTTAGCGAGCTCCTAGCGAGGCGACACAGAAAGATCAAACCTCTGAATTTCCCCTCCCCACTTAGCGAGACCTAGCGGGGGATAGCGAGACCTAGCGAGGGATAGCAGAACAATTTATATTGCAAGCGAACCATTCTCTCGCTTAACGAGGATGACATAACTCATCTAGTGAGAAAAGATAACAAGATGAAGAAACAAACAACAACAACATCATATCATTTCATATTTACACAAGACACATCATCATCATCATCATGAATTTTCAAGAAAGACAACAAGAACATCATGGATTAGCATGAATTTCATGACTATGTTAAAACATACAATCCCTAATCCCATCTTTCATGGAAAATTCGCCCAAAAACTAAAACTACCTAGAATCCACCTTGATAGATGAAGATGTTAAGATATTTGAGATGAAAATGGGTGACCCAAACTCTTGAATTCAAGTTTCCAAACTTCTTTCTTCTCTCAAGTTTTCTTCTTATTTTCCTTAACTTCCCTTTTCTTCCTATTTTTTTCTTTATGTTTTCCAAACTATTTTACACCGTAAGTGCATATCAATTAAACTCATTTTCTATTCAATTTCATTTCTCTAACATTCTTTGATATTATTTTCTTTCCTTTCATCTTCTTTTCTCCCCCAAACAAAGCATAAATGTTGAATGGTTGTAATTGAATTTTTGTACACAATTTCGATGGTGAGGTGGATACGATACGACCCACCCACATAACAATAAAACCGTCTTTTTAACATTTCACTTTCACTCTCACTCCTCTTTCGCTTCTCAATTCGATCGTCTTCTTGCTGCTTCGGATTCAAAATCACTCCTCATACAGTCAGGTTTCAATTCAATCAAATTCTGATTCTTTATTTCTCAATTCGTGATTCCATTCCTCACGCACTGTTAGGTTTCAAAAACCCGCATGCAACTGTGTAATAGTGATAATAACAATAGTAATGGAGAATCAGAATCCTTGTGAGGTTCTTGGCTCAAAAGGGTTAATTAAAAAACAAGAATTTGTTAGAATCATACTTCAGTGTCTATATTCATTAGGTTACACAAAGTCTGCATCTTGTTTGGAATTGGAATCTGGGGTTTCGTATAAATCAAAGGAGTTTCAGTTACTTGAATCTCATGTCTTGAATGGGAATTGGGATGAATGTGCTACTTTTCTTGATTCCATTAGGGATATGTTAGGTGAGTCAGTAGAGCCTGCTTTGTTTCTTGTCTTTAGACAGTGTGTTATGGAGTATTTGAAAAAGGGTGAGGATACTCTGGCTTTGGATGTCTTGAGGAAGCGGGTTTCTGTGCTGAGGGTTGACAGGTGTAAAATTCATGGTTTGGCGAATACCCTGCTTGGTGTTGTGGATGATGATGATGGTGATGTTGGTTGTGATTTACGAGGGAGGTTGTTGACGGATTTAGAAAAGATGCTACCACCGCCCATTTGTTTACCGGGTGGGAGGTTGGAGCATTTGGTTGAAACTACTGTTACGGCTTGGGTTGATTCTTGCTTGTTTCATACTTCGGCGAATCCTGTTTCGCTTTATGAGGATCATCGTTGCGGTAGAGAACAGTTTCCTACTACAACCACTCAGGTGAGTTGGCTGTGTATCGAGCCTGCCTTTTGTTAATGATTATTATGTCTGCATGTTTTGTCAGGTGTGATTTTAAAGAATCTTTGTCGTAGTTGGTTAAAGGCTTAGCGCTTAGATTATCTTTCTATATTTTTCTGTTAGACTGTAAGGGATGCGTGCACTTTGCATTATATTACCATAAAAGGGGAAGTTGCATTGTTTCCATGTTCTTATAATGCCCATCTGCGTGTAAATTAGAAAAGGCATAAATGATTGACTTCTGTGAAATAGAGATAATGTGTAGCTAGATAAGCATCCATATGTTTCTAATTCTTCTACATACGTAATTGCTATTTTCTTGTACCTTATGAGCTTGTAAAAAAACGGTTTTTTGTCTGTCTGTTTCCCTATCCGGAATTCATCTATTAGGGCCATATAGAAAGAGATTAATTTTGTTGGGTTGCTTTGATGTGGCAAAAAAGCATGTATCAGATTCGAAACCATGAAGTTAAATGTCCAAATTAAATTTCTTGCTTCGAAAAATATTTCATATATACATGTTTTGCTTATTAAATAACAATGCCCTCTTTTGCCATCGCTGCAGATATTAACTGGACATAAAAATGAAGTTTGGTTTGTTCAGTTTTCTAACAATGGGGATTATCTAGCTTCTTCTTCCAACGATTGTACAGCTATCATATGGAAGGTATTATGTTATTGTCATCACATGACATATCTAGTTTTGATTTAGATGATTTTTCCAATACAATTGTCTTACTTTTTCTTGGCTTTGATTAAATTTATATGCTTGAGCTCTCAATATGCCGAACAAGAATGGGGTTGGCAAGATCATATTTCTACAATATCCAGATATTCACTATAACTTTTGTAGCGCATTGCATGATTTTTCAACTACTGCTAATTCCTTTAACCACTTTGGGCGTTATATATAATATGAACATAGACACAATTATATCTGGGTTAGGTGAAACTGTGTTTTGTATATCTTTTCCTTGCTGACACCATTACTTCATTTGTCAATTTCTACATGACAAGTGATTTAGAAATTGTTTCAAGCCTCTATGATGTCAATATTCGAAGACTGGAAAAATTCAAATGATTAAGGATTTTTTCTAGCACGATATATTTTTTATACCTCTCATCAAATATCATGTAGGCTGTGCAATAAAAATTTCCCTTTTTTTGAGACCTGTCTTGAGAGCTTTGTAGATTTATGAGCTTAAGACAAAGTAAGGGTTTGCTATAGAGTATGCCTGTAAGTAAAGGATAGTTGGATCTCATTATCTTGTCTGGAAGTTTCTTGAAATAAAATATAATGGATGTCTCTTGTTTGGTTAGGTGTTAATATGTATGGGAACATTATAGGATGTTAGGGTCCGCTTACAAGGTAATATGGAAAGGTAAAATAATAGGTTCTACCGATTGGTTAGATGTTACTTCTAACCAGTGTTATCAAATAGCGGCACCATGACCACTATGGTGTATATACATGGCGGTTTTTGGGCTCGCCGCATGGTAAGTAGTGGCTGATATTGCGGGGTTTTCCGCCATAATCCGCTATAACGACGCCACAAAGCAGCCGGTATGGCGGAATTTTCGCTCTCCGCCATCTGCCATCGACAATACTGTTCCAACATGGAGAAGACAGTCTTACATCATTGTAGATTCCAAACTCACATATTCCTTAATCCTAGTTACTGGAAGTCCACTACAAGATTCCTTGCCTGATTCCTTATTAGAACATAACTAGTGAATAAAATAATGATGGAAGAAGTCAAAATTTGGAAATGAGTAAGATTGAAAATAGAAGCGGCTGCCATGTCTATCGGTACACAGGGCCACAGGTTCATACTTTCCTCTATCATTCACTCTCCACCGTCCAACTTTACCGCCCTGCTTCTGTCCTTCTATGCACGTTTATTGTGCTTCATCAAATGCTTCTATTTCTCATTGGCATATTTCTCTCTGCATCCAGATGTAATTAAACCAGCCAAGCCTTTTCTAGTGAGACTTATTCCCGAGTCCCAACAACTACTTCCAGACCTTTGGAATCCTCTGGCGAGCCCAACCGTCTTTGCTACCTACAGTCACCTCTGGCTGCGCCACACTTTCCACCCGCGCCTACAGCCTCAATGTTTTTATTTTCTCTATGGTATTTCCTCCCATTGTAACGAGATTAAAGCTTAGTAACCTTTAGCTTGAGGTGACGTGTTAGAATTAGTCACATGTCAGAGTTATTCACATGTTATTATTCCTCAGCTGCACAATATAAGTGATTTGATTTGATTTAGACACAAAATTCACAAATTAATTCAACAGATTTCAAAGACTGTCATGAGGCTGGTCAGAGCAATTGCTAAGTTTGATTCTAGGAAAAATAGTTTGTGTCAGAGAATGTCTATATAACTGGACATAATTTGTGAGATAAAATTATCATATAAACAAAAATGATCTGGATTTTAAATATTAAACTTTTTGCAGTGATACTCCCTCTAGAATAAAATACAAGCAAAAAAGTACACGTATTGTATGTTGTCCAAATTTGGACCAAATACTTTTTTTGCTTATATTTCATTCTGTAGGGTGTATTTGTTTTGATATCTTTTGGAGAATACTACAAGATGTTCTACTGTCAACTAAGATCAAATTCTAATTATCTCCTGCTACCTTGACTTCAATATGTCAAATAGAAATTCTGCTAAACTTTATCAATCTAATAGTTTATAAAATTTGACAGGTAATAAATATATATAAAATTTTAATTATTTTTCTTAGTTATATGCTCCAAGCTAAAATTTGCTAACGGAGAAACTGTTGAGCCACTTGGTTCCTGATGTTGTGAAATACTCATGACAGGTGCAAGAAAATGGGAAATTGACATTGAAACACACACTCTGTGGTCACCTACGAGCCGTATCTTTTGTGGCATGGAGTCCTGATGATACCAAGTTGCTCACTTGTGGGAACATTGAAGTTTTGAAGCTGTGGGATGTTGAAACAGGTACATGCAAGCATACATTTGGGACCGATGGCTTTGTTGTCAGCTCATGTGCCTGGTTTCCCAACTCAAATCAATTTGTGTGTGGCAGTTTTGACCCTGAAAAGGGCATCTGCATGTGGGATTGTGATGGAAACGAGCTAAGAGCTTGGAGAGGAATGAGGATGCCCAAAGTTGTAGATCTTACCGTTACTCCAGATGGCGAGTATCTTATTAGCATATTCTTGGATAAAGAAATTCGGATTTTACATTTGGGAACCAATGCGGAACGAGTCATTTCAGAGAAGCACCCTATCACATCCATTTCAGTTTCTGGAGATGGTAAGTTCTTCATTGTCAATCTAAACAGCCAGGAGATCCATATGTGGGACGTAGCCGGTACATGGAAGAAGCCAATGAAGTATACGGGTCACAAGCAGTGCAAATATGTGATTAGATCGTGTTTTGGTGGATTGAATAGCACATTTATTGCAAGTGGTAGTGAAAATTCAGAGGTAATTGTATACTAATTAATTAACTTAGTTGCAGCTACTTATAGAAGCTAAGCAAAATACGCCGTAATCCACACTCTGCATTTCTTCATTTATGTGATGCAGGTATACATTTGGAATACTCGGAGTTCAAAGCCGATAGAGGTTTTATCTGGGCACACCCTGACTGTAAATTGTGTGAGCTGGAATCCTAAAAGGCCACAAATGTTAGCATCTGCAAGTGATGACCATACAATTCGTATATGGGGACCAAGCTTATAAAAAAAAAACACAATTTGATTAGATCAGTTGAACACAGTGCATATTAGGTTATGAAGCCCAGTTTACTGTATATAGACCCTATATTGTTTTGCTCCACCTCAAGTTGTTCAGTATGAGTTTGTTGTAAAGTCCTGATTTGTCCATGCAGGAATTTTGGCCTAAGTTTTGATCTGTAAATCCTCATTCCATTTAGTTAGAGAAGAAACTAGAAACTAATGGGTTAAACTTAGGGTTGTTACCGGTTCAGATTTTATAATAAATAGTTTTGACTTGTGATTTTTTGGGTGTTGCTTTTGAGGTTATTTCAATATGGGGTGAGATGAATTCTTGTTAAGTGTTATTCTATAAGTTTGATTGCCAAATATTTCTTCGAACTGAAAGAGTACAAAAATTGATAATTTGACAATATTATGGAAAAATAGTGAGATATCACATTTTTTTAATCATTTAAAATGCATACCGATAGAAGACAATCAAATTCAATTTTTTTTCTTCACAATTTCCAATATAACTGCATGGAAACATTTCCTTAAAGCACAAACTCATTCTTTATGTAAAGTATGTTAGGGCAGAAAGATTTTTCCACAAATAGAAAAAAGTTATGTGATTTAGAGTTAAATATGCACCAAGTATGTTTTTGTTCATTTTTTTTAAGTCAAAACTAAATGTATATTCCACTTAATTTTAAATTTGAAAAAATGTTACTACATTCTGTCTAAATTTTTATATCTAAAATAAAAGTGAATTCTAACTTAAGTATTAAAAAACATAGTAAAAAAGCATCTTTTCCGATATTACATATCCCTATTGTGTCATGTGCAAACTAATTTTCAAGACATGAACATAAAAATTGGCTTATAAACCTTCAATTAGAGATTCAAACAAAACAAACATTCAACATGGAAGTGGTACGATAAATTTCAATATGGTTTGTGCCTTTCATTAATCGTAATACTTATAGAATTTCAACACAATTATACTTAGTATTACAAACTTAAGTACATGTATATCTATTAAATAGAATAAAGTAAAAGAAGTTTTTGGACGTCAAATTTTAAGAGTCCATGTTATTTTTTTATTTTTTATTAATAGAAAAGTTTCTATAATTAATTTTAATTATTTTTTATTATCTAATTAAAAACAAGAGGATATTACTTCTACAATCCTTCTGAGGACAAAGTGTTTGTCGCTCGAACTTGAGGTTTTTTGGAAAAAGACTTTATTTTCAAAGGAATCAGTGGGAGGAAGGTAGAGCTTGAAGAAATTCAAGAATCACAAAGCATTGATACACCTATGGAGGAATTAGAGAAGGAAACACAAGTAGTTGTGGAAGAACAACTGCTCAAGTAGAACAAGACCAGCGTAGGTCAAACAGGATACATCACCAACCTGATAGATATGGATATCTCATAAGTGATCAAGGTGATGTATTACTCATGGATCAAGATGAGTCTGTGACCTACCAAGAGGCCATAACTGGTCCTGAGTCTGAGAAGTGGCTAGAAGCCATGAAATCTGAAATGGATTCCATGTACACAAACCATGTTTGGACCTTGGTAGAACCTCCTATAGAATGCAAGTGGGTCTTTAAAAAGAAGACTAGCATGGATGGAAGGTACATACCTATAAGGCAAGACTGGTTGCAAAAGGCTACAAACAAATTCATGGGGTTGACTATGATGAAACATTTTCACCAGTTGCAATGCTTAAATTTGTTCGGATTTTACTTGCTATTGTTGCATATCATGATTATGAAATATGGAAGATGGATGTAAAAACTGATTTCCTTAATGAGAATCTTCTTGAGGACGTGTACATGACACAACCTGAAGGATTTAACATACCACATGAAGCCCAAAAGATATGCAAGTTACAACGATCAATCTATGGATTGAAGTAAGCTTCCAGAAGTTGGAATCTTCATCTTGATGAAACAGTAAAACAATATGGATTCATCAAGAATGAAGATGAGCCTTGTGTCTACAAGAAGGTTAGTGGGAGCATGATTGTTTTCGTGATATTATATGTAGATGACATATTACTCATTGGAAACGATGTCCCTACCTTACAACAAGTAAAGACTTGGTTGGGGAAAATGCTTTTCCATGAATGACCTAGGTGAAGCAGCCTATATATTAGGAATCAAGATCTATAGAGATAGATCATAAAAACTTCTTGGTCTAAGTCAAAGTACATACATAGACAAAGTGTTGAGATGCTTTAATATGCATGATTCCAAGAAAGGATTCATACCTATGCAACATGGCATGTGTTTATCAAAAACACAATCCCCTTCGACCAAGGAAGAAAGGGATCACATGACTAAGATTCCATATGCATCTGAAATAGGATCTATCATGTATGCCATGTTATGTACTCGACCAGATGTCTCGTATGCTTTAAGTGCAACGAGTAGGTACCAATTTGATCCCGATGATGCTCATCGGGTAGCTGTCAAGAATATCCTTAAGTACTTGAGAAGGACTAAGGACTCATTCTTTATATATGGAGGTCAGGAAGAGCTTGGTGTGATAGGATACACTGATGCTAGCTTCCAGACAGATAAGGATAACTTTAGATCGCAATCTGGTTATGTATTATGCTTAAATGGTTGCGCTGTGAGCAGGAAAAGTTCAAAGCAAGATACAGTTGCTGATTCTACAATCGAGGCCGAGTATATTGCTGCTTCAAATGCAGCAAAGGAAGTTGTTCGGATCAAGAAGTTCATTAGTGAGCTTGACATAGTCCTGAGAATTGTGGATCCCATTGATCTCATTTGTGATAACAATGGTGCTATCGCACAAGCTAAGGAGCCTCTATCTCACCAACGAATCCAACACATACTTAGGCGTTATCACCTCATTCGAGAAATAATTGATCGGGGAGGTGTGAAGATATGTAGAGTACCTACACTTGACAATGTTGCTGACCCGCTAACAAAGCCTCTTGTGCAGCAGAAGCATGATGGCCATACTAGATCTATGGGTATTATGGGTATGCCTGATTAAATCTAGTGCTACTGGGAGATTGTTGGTGTAAGACCTAGAGGCCAATACTTTGGGTACTTGTATTGAATTATTTATTAATAAATAAAAGACATTTCTTTATTATGTTTGCTTTTCCAAAATAATCGATTCCCTAGAATATTTCGTTTGTTTAATGAAATATTAAGTGTGACTTAATCATGAGATCCCATTAAACATAAGAACATTATTCTAAAAATACCCGTAGTCGAGCTTTATTGCAAAGTGGGATAACATTAAAGCATTGAGATTATTATGAAGATAGACTGATGATCATACCTCATGGATCATGGATAAGGAGTTATCAAGTCTTGATATAGGTATTAATATTAGGAGTAATATTTATACTGAATTGACCCGCTATGAGAATAATACATAGAATGTTATGCAAGGTGTCATAAGTTATTCTCATGGTGATAATGGTGTATACCACTCTTCGACCTGAAACCACTATGGACCTTAGATGTGGAGTTAAGTACTTTATTGTTGATCAAACATTATCCGTAACTGGATGACCATAAAGGCAGTTGATGGGTACTTCACAAAGCATGTTGAGGGACATGAGTGACCTAGATGGAATTTATCCATCCCGCATAATGGGATAAATGTCTAAGGGCCCAATATTGAACTGGACAAGGATGACACAGTTTATGCCTTGTGTTCAATATAGACATAAGGGCAAAGGGGTAATTGTACACATAAATATTATCACAGAAAGGTTTTGTCAGATCACATGATATTTGTGACTTGGGTAGTGTTATACCCCAAAATTTTCCCTCCCATATTCCTCAAGAAATTGCCAAGCCAAGCTACAAAATTCCCCAAGGGTTGTGCAGTGCAACAGTCTCTCATACAGTCAAAATTAGGGTTTTGAGTCTGATCAAGAAAAGGAAGTGTTCAAAGGCCCAATCAAGTCTCACATGTTTACAAACATGGTCAAGCATCCTCATATCAAGTTTCAAGGCATTCAGCTCAAAATTGCACAGTCAAAACCCTAAATTGCACTACAGTCAACTGTAGGGGCAAAATGGTCATTTGGCAGTCAAAAGTTCAAATTTTTGGTCAATATATCATTTTGAAGCCACAAACATCATTTGATCAATACTTGATCATGATTCTCAAAATTTGGCTCAGAAATCATCAAAGATGCAAAAGTTGCTATATTTGGACAACTGAAAAAGTCAACTGAAATTGACCAGGGCATAACTTTCACATGGATTATCAGAAAAATCCCATCCAAAGCTCATTTTTAAGAGAAAGACATTTCCTACAACTCATCTTCATACTTCAAGTCCAAGAAATGCTCTCATAAAAAGTTATCAATTCCAACATTATAGGTCATTTTCAAAAGTCAACAAAAAGGGACTTTAAGTCAAAGGCCATAACTTGAGATTGGAAAATCAAAATGACATGGGACCAAAGGCATTGGTTAGAGGACTCAAATACCTTTCCAAAATGTCCAAGAACATGTGAAAAGCTTAAAAATTGAGCAAGTTATGCCTTGTAGAAGTTGGGAAATTTTTGTGAAATGGCAAAAGTCAACTATCCTTGAAACTCCAATTTTTGACAAAAAGGGCCCACTTTTTCCACTTGGTTCATCCTTGTCATGCCACACACGTGTCCCATGATTAATTTCAAGACCAAATATTGATTTTTCTATTTTATTTAATTTTTGATAATTTAATTCATTTTAAATCTTTGAAAATTCAAATAAAATTCAAAAACCAATGGAATAGTGTCATGTGAATTTGGACAACTTCCATATATCATGGGCCAACTCAAAAACTCAGGCTAGGGTTAAATTTCACACTAAGTCTTGGTCTTGGCTTAAAAGAAGGAAAATTGGTTAATGGTGAAAACCCTAGGACTAGTTCCTTCATGAGCATGAATTAAGGCCAAATAACAAGCCAATTCTCTTCCATCATAAACACTGAGTCAAACCCTAAGCCTAAGACATCATATGCTGCGCTCAAAGGC